AGGCAGCATCTTTTTCCATTTTCTTCCCCTAAAGAATATCCCCAAACGAGGCCTTACCCCACTCAAAGACTCGCTCGTCATGCCCGAGGATGAACCCGGACCTTCTTCTTTCCCTCTAAAGCAGCGGGCCCCGATCCCTATCTCCGAAGCCCGGCAGGCCCAAGTCCCGTCAGTGCCGAACCTGAGCCCGAACGACCGATTTTCGGAGGTGAAGCCTGTTAAGATCAGATCATCCAGTGCCAAAGACCCTGCTTTGTCGACCAAACACAGATCCTCTAGACGACACGAATTTGCTGAGTTTTACGGTTCGAGTGAGGCTCCTCAGTATGGGCATGCTAGGTCGAAAAGCCATAAAGAACGAGCTAAGCACCGTTCGAAGGAGAAAAGTGGGGAAACAATGCAGACAAAGCCTGCAGAAGTTAAAGGGCCCGAGTATGAGAATACGAAATACGATCCCTATAATTTCAGGAGCAGGTATGGAGGAGAAGCATACCGTTTTGAGTAGTGCCGGGTTTTAGGAGTTTGTACTTGTTTTGGATATTGAAAGTTTTCGCGGTAGAATCTTGAAATATGCTAATGTACGGGCATGGAGGCTCGTGGTTTTTTTCTGCATTTTCTCGAATGGGGTTCGATCGAAGTGTTTGAAGTTGGCTGTATGTTTAGAGGGGAGATTTTAGTGTTACTTTTGATAGGTGCAATATGTTGTTTGTTAACATGTTTATGAACTGGTTACTACTCTAATCAAGTTATGAGAGTTACATTGGAGATTATTTAGTGCTGGAAATTTATATTTGAATTTAGTGTAAATTGTATTATCATATCTTATTTGCAATGACAGAAACTTTAACTGAGAAACATTTATTAGGCAATCCAAAATCAAGTGATAAACCTCAGGCAACTGCCATCACGAGAAATGAAATATGACAGCCAACTACTTTTTCCCCCTTTTACATGTACCTCATACTATCTCTATTTAAACTGCACAAAAAGCTATAACTGGCACACCAAAAAACAGAACTTCCCAACAGAAGCAAATTCAATGCTTTTTCACACATCAAACAAGTTTCACCTCCATCATCTCAAGCATTTCATAAATTTTCTGTAAACTTTCATCTCATACGAAATACGAGCACATATCCAAAGAAACAAGAAAAAGATCGAGCTCACAGTAGTTAAAGCAAACATGGGATGTTCTGTATCCTCACAGGTGAAAGCCGGGGGTGAGAAATATATACATATAACACACTTAAGATTTTAGTAGTTTCTTTGTTCTTTTTCAGATGATCGTCCATCCGTATTTTCCTTTTATTTACTTCCATTTGTAGTGCTGCTTATGATTTCCTCAGGCAATGTTAAGAAGATCAGAAAGCCGAAAGCTTGGAAACATCCACAGCCGATAACAAGAAGTCAACTAATACAGCTGAGGGAGGAGTTTTGGGACACTGCTCCTCACTATGGTGGCGCAAAAGGTTAAAAAAAACATTTAATATCATATATCACAGGAAATGGAGATACAAATTTAGCAGTTAAATGAACAAATTCATCTTCCTTTTTTTTTCCCACTTTTTGCACTTGTAATTTGCCAGAAATATGGGATGCACTACGAGCAGCAGCAGAATCTGATATAACTCTTGCTCAGGAAATTGTGGATAGTGCAGGAATTCTAGTTCATAATGCTGATTTGACCGTTTGTTTCGATGAAAGAGGTGACCTAAACCGAGTTTCTACTTTAACTTAACTAGAAAAATTACATCACATGACTTTTAGAGATGTAGCGTTTGAGCCTTAGTTTCAGTTTTCCGCATACTTAGAATTTCAGGGGTAATTCATAGGCAGTTGGCAAATCTTAAAATACCTAAATAAAAGACAATTTTTTTGTACTTCAAAATCCATCTTGGCAAGATAGTTAACATTTACCTGTCATTGTTTCCTGCATTTTCTCCATCATATTCATTATTTCATGATTTGCAGTGAACCCTATATCTGTTATGTCGCAGGTGCAAGATATGAGCTGCCAAAGTATGTCCTGAGCGAGCCTAAAAACTTGATCAAAGATCCTTGAGACGAGAGGGAGGCATTCTCTAGACTAAGAAATTTATGTTTAAATTTTACATAGAATCTGGTTACTTGTGGATTATAGATTTCCGTTAAATTTTACCGGAAAATTATACTGTACTGAAACACATGCATCAATGAACGATCTTATTCCATGTAATGTTAACAAATCATAGGTCTCAATACAATACAACAAGCCTATTTATCGTATAATCTCCTTAAGGCACTAAAAGAGGTCAACTTGGAGTACAAATCCGGATAAAATACGTGGTCTTTGACAAGATAAAAGTCAGAAAATTTGATAAGATTTCGAGATAAAGTCTCTACAAACACATCAAATTCAGCTATCTACAACAAGGCTACTTTTAACTATCTATGACCAAGTCTTAAGTTTTGTGATGCAAAATTACAAGACACTACTTATTGCGAGGTTTTTATAAAAACTGCCAGGTACGACTAGACGTAGCAATAATTACCGTCACGCCCTCTTGAAGAATGACATTATGTTGCCCTGCTTGGGATCCTTATTTAGGCCCTTTTTGTTTCCAGCTTTTCCTGCTTGATTTGATGCTGTGGTTGTTAACGCAGGCGATTTTTTCACCACCGGCTGCCTAAAATCGTAGGAAAAATGGAAAAATAAGTTGGTGTCAAACAAAAAGTTCAGAGAAATTAACCTAAAGAAGAAAAATCAAGTCTCCTCTCCGTTTTTAGTATTTCTTTATTTATATTTTATTTTACTCTTTATTTATTTTTGGGGTGGCGATATTCACCAAAAGAAATTAGTTGTCATCAGGTAATTTTCAGGCATAATATCATCAAATCAGTGAGACAGATAATTGCATATAAATCTTAGCATTTCCGAATAAGATAGTCTCAGTTATGTCATGTCTTAGCATCAAACACGAAAAAATAGTTGTCCACTGGAACGATTTTCTCCTCAATAACATAACAATATAAACACAGAAGCTTAATGTTGTAATATGATTTCAAACAGCAAGCCATAGATTGAAATGGGTCATGCACACGTGTAACCTGCTAGTGGCTTTGTTTGTCGTGTTGCTCTCAGCAACTTTAGCTGAATTATTGTTGCATTTTCTATCTGGCTCCTCACCTTCCCAGACAACCTCGGTAACTGGAATCACAGGCGTAAATACATCAGGAAAATATATCTCAACAGCACATAAAAAATGAAAAAGAACTAACTCAATGCAAGAAAGAATCCATGATAAGTAACATATTAACAGATGTTTACCAAACCTTAACTTGTGGTTTAGCATACTGATAAAAAGTACTCCCAGCTAACTCTCTGAGACTGAAGGTGAACTTTACAAAATATAGACAAGTTTTATGGGTATTTGTAATTTTAAAAATAATGGGGTTCTTTTATAGTTTTCTCAAAACTTCAGGACAGATTTGCAATAGTATGTTCGACCAACCTTCTCTGCCCCGATCATCAATCCGTGTCTTTAATAGTTTTTTCCTCTTCGCTGCAACATTAGCCACTTTATCTTTCTCACAAGATTCTGGTTTAGGAACATCGATGAGGTTCTTATCTGAAGCGGGAGCCTCAATCTTCTTTTCTTCTGAATCTCGGTTACTTATCACGTCATCTGCTTTCGCCTCATTCGTCTTTGGCTTATGTTCCTTCTCCTGGAAACTTAATTTGCACTCCAGTTCAAAAGCACTCGTCTCGCCTTTTAAACACGATGCAGACTTTTTCGGAGGGTCGGGTGATGCTAGATTCACTGCATCTTCACATTCATCTTCCTCATCTGAGTACTCGAAGACAACTCTCCTCTTTCTACTGCTTTCTCCACTAGATGTTCTCTTAACACTGAAATCATGGGCATCTTCATCACTGCTAGCGTGTTCAACCGAGTCAAGAGCACGGATTTGAGCTTCTGCACTGGCTGTTTCGAGACCAAACAATGAGTTTGTTTTAGACAAAATGAAAAGATACATTAACAAAAACTAAACCTGAAGTTTAGCCCAATTACATGCAAACATCCATTAAAGTACAAACCCCCCCTTGATATTTGTATTAATCAAGAAAATACCTCACTTTTAATGGTTGAATCATAAAAGAGAAAAAAAAAAATATTTCAGGGTTTATACGTAATTATGAAGATAACTAGACTAGATTTTTTTGTGTGTGATCTTAAGAGCAGTTTTGATACTTGATCCTAAAGGAAGAAAAAGAGTTAACCAGCATAGGTTTGTTTGGAGTCATTGGCCTGCCGTAAAACAGCATCAGGTTTAGGCTTAGCAGACGCACGACCCCACATGCTAGCCAATGCGCCTCCACTTCCTGAAGAGTTTTTATCAGTTTGACCATTTTTGTTGTTACGGGACAACTGGAAACCTTTTTCTTTATCTGCAGCAAGCTGGCCCCTTTGTTCTCGTTCTAGCTTCACAACACTCTCGATTTTCACAGTTTTTGTACTCTCGGGAGGCTGCTGAGGCTTTGCTGAACTTGTGGACCCCACAGAACGTCCAGTGGTCTTCACCTGCAGGATCCCCGTGCCTGTGGCTACTCCTCCCGCAGCTCGCTTAACAAATGAATTTGAAACTCCACAGAACCTTTTGAGGATACAGTGAAGTTAGAAAAAAGAGGCCTGGGAGAGGTTTATGCAAAAGAGTGGTGCCTAAATCATTATAAAAGAGTAATAATATAAAACACCAGCACAACCCCATGATTTACTTCACTGCAGAAAAGTTAATTGCTAAAGAATATGGATTATGAATGGCATTAAAACAAAAGGTTGAACCTGTTATCCCGCAAGCAATTATCAACTGCCACTGGTTGCTTAAAGAGATCTTCGGCTTGAACAAATTCATGATTCCATAGGGTTGCTGGGTCCTTTGGTAGGCAAGCTTGTATACTGTAAACCTGAATGGAACAATCTCCTTTGAATTCTTGTCTTGCATCTGCACATTGTAAACAATAATTTCACAATAGAGATTCGGCCAGTTTTTATTTATTCTCTTAAGAAGTATTTACCCAGACTTGTGGAAATAACTATAATAACCACCAGCGAGACACAACCTAGTTATCTCTATTAACTCAATTGTGCATTTTCATATACATAAATTATAGATACGATCTTTGAGGAATGTAAAAGGCTTTGACAGTAACCCACATCAATATTTCAAAATCCCAGAACTATTAATTCCTGATCAAGTTGTCATCAATCAGTTAGGCAAACACAACTCAAACAGTTAACACTTACCAAACACAGAACGCTACGTTATTTTTCTTATACGGATCGAATTAGTTGGAAATACTCAAATATGAAATTTATGGGGCTGAACCTCCATTTTATATTTCCTGTATACAGCTTGTCCTTTTTAAATTTATGGGCTATTGGATCAGATTACCCATAATGACAGCAGCATTTATTCAGACGTGCAAGGTCATAGGACTCTACTCAAGATGTCAATATATCAGTTTTTCAGAATTAGCATACATAAGTCCACAAGATTTGAGATCAGCAACACACCACTGGAATAACTACAAGTGAAATCTGGATTTATTCGCTTAACAGATTCGATCCCTATGCTATTTGCACACACAATAATGATTGGTTTATTCAAATCTACAACTTGATCTCCAAAACCATGCACAATACGAACCACCTGATAAGCAGCATGAATACTAGAACAACCCCTGATAGACACTTGTAAAGTGAATCCCACTTATGGCCTATGGGTTTCACTTGATCCATCTACATGAACACTTTATTACAAAATCACCTGAGAGTTTATCCTTGGACACGAGCCTTATATGGTAAGTAGATGGGTTGTTCTTCAACCAGCCGGATAAAGAGTAAATCACTTCCAATCCATTTCCATACTTCTCCACAAACTCCTCTAGCAGCCTACAGCCAACAATCGATCAAAATAAGTCAGCCCATCAAACAACTAAACAACGATACCCGAAAAAAAAGAACAAAATGAATAAGCTTTGAGATTCAAGTCACCTACCTCTTGGCAGCATTGGAAGAAACCAAAAAGTTCCGACTGAGCCATTTGTAGGAAACCTAACCAGAAAATTACAACTCATTGATTGCTTAAAGATCCCTAAAACCCCGCAAAATACAACCTCTAGCAATTTAACATAATTCTAACTGGCTGTGCTCAGTGCGCTGTGAATTACACAATTCCAAATAGTACGACGATTTTCAGACAAAATTAGCTAAGCCCTTATGTCAAAGTATCCAATTTAGCTCGAAAATTATTCCAGAGACCATCAAAATTCAAACACCACTAAACCACAGCATCGACGCATATGGGTGTCTAAATTTTATCAACGACGTCGATAGGGCACAGAGAATAGAAAGGCGTACCACTTGAAGCTTATCGGAGACGATGGACTGAACCTCGTCGTGTATACCTATGGTTTCGATTTCCGCCATTTCTTCTCAGATAGGTGTCGATTCGTAATCCTGCGGAAGGGTCAAAAAAGCAAAAGAGGAACCTTTTCTTCTTCCTATTTTCCCTCCCTTTTATTTCCCGCCACTCGGCGAATTTAGGGCATTTTCAGAGGATTATCACACCCAAGGCTAAACTAGTAAATTGGCTAATTTGAGGTAGGTTTCGAGCCTTCGGATCACACATGCGCCGGCCCGCATAATCGTGCGAAAGTTTGGGAAAACAATGCAATCACGTCACGGAAAAGCTTCATGAGAGATTTTAGCCATAGATTATCTATAATAATTAACTTGCATTCATATCTAAAGGCTAAAATCCCTCACAGAATCTGTTACGGGACTGTAATCTTTTCTGAAAGTTTGTTGGTTCAAATTGAGCTGACTACTTTCCCCACCTAACGTTGTTCTCGGTTGGCGTGCGTAATTGAAATTACAGCGACCACTCTGTCACAGTAAAAAAAGATGACGGCCACAAGCAATATGGTTAACCCTAAAATTTAGGAGATTTCGCATGCCCTCAATGTTTGTCACACAATATAGATAAATTTTTAATATGTGGAGAAAACGGATCCATACAAAGTTTGCATGTTTGCTTACCTAGAATGTTCGGTCATTTAAAAGGGCCCATAAGTTATATTTATTTATTGGGCCGTCCTTATGTAGTGGAACAATTTTGTGGTATTTTTTTCTTTTTTTTTTTTTTTCAAAACAACAATCGCTTAGACTCAGTATTTATGCTTTTAACTATAATATCCATTGCTATGCACCGTTCCGTGACCGAACTGTAGTTTTTTTCGAAAGTTTGTTGATTCATAATTTTACCTTCTATATAGAAGCTAAATTATATTGAGAATCTAATCCTTAACTATTACGTTTCATTTAAGTTCATGCTAGCAACACCCTAAGAAGATAAAACATTAGAATTTAAAAAAAAAAATAATAAAAAATAAAAAAAAAAATTGTTTCAAATGTCTCATTTATAAATGATGCAATAGATAGCTTATTTCATGTTCTTCACCATCTCTCGAAACTGAAACAAAGTACACATAAACTTCTAAAATTTCACATCTTGAGGCACCAATTCATCAATGTATATTCCAAAACAATAGGATTCCCTTCTAAGTACGGCATTCAATTTTTGTCTTTGGCTTGTGACCTTTAAGCACGGCATATTAATTTACAAGGAAAACGGAGAAGCAACATATTTTTATTTAGCACTTGGAAGCTTCAAGCAAACAGGAGCAATTATCTTGATCAAGCGCATATTGCGATAGTTCGGCTTTGATCTTTCCATCTTTAATTTCTTTTACATGATTTATTTGATGATCTAAATTGATATAGTGCATATTAGTATCGAACTCGCGTTTTGTTGCTTTTCGTAGTTCAGTAGTTGTTTTTGGCATATTACGGAGTGTTTATCACTTGTAGGCTAAATTTTATTTATTCGAATTCATTTATTTTCGCAGGTTAATTATTTTATTTTTGATCTTTGAGTGAAAAATATGAAATTTTTTATACCTAAAATTCTGACACCCAAAATGTTTGGAACTATGATTCTCACATTCGTTTCTTTAAACAATATTCCATATTCAAACATGAGAGACCGGCCACATAAGAGTAAAATCAGTTTTTACATAACATCTCAAGTGATTAAATTGACAATTATCCAAAACTCCAAATACCCATGGAGTGTAAGCTTTGACATCTAGTTTAATATCTCAAGTTGTTAAAAATATGGCAAATACTCATCCAAACCTCCAAATACACAGAGTATAGGCTTTCACATGAGGGCTCGTTTACTAGCAGTGATAGGATATGATAAGGTTGGTTAACTAACCTTATCATTTTTTTTACTAGGCTAGGTCGGGATTAGGTTTATGCGGATATGGCGCGTGGGTCCCGCTTTAGTAATCTGACGTGCACGGCTTAATTAGTCCGCCCATTTTGGGCAGATAGAATAATCCGGGTTTCATCCTTCCCATTTTACCCTTACTGTAGCACGTGAAAAGTCTATTTTGCTCCTTAATTTCGTCCAAATTACAAATATAGAAAATATATATTTTTTGCTCTTGTCCGAAGAACTTCATCGACTAATTTGGTTCTTCGCTTTCTCGTAGCTCCGTCGTAACCCTAATTTCCTTTTTCTTCGTTTATCTTTTATGTTTTTTTTTAATTTTTTTTTTGTTATGCTGCTGCACAACTTGTGTCTAACATAAACATACACTCGCAGGTGTTTAGGGTTCGCGGTGCACGACGGTTCTGCTAATGTTCCTCCTTAATCGATTTGTTCTTCCATTTTTTTTTTTGTTTTCATTTTTTTTATCACATGTGCGACCGAAATCGATAAGCGAATGTCGTAGGGGAGGTGTGTTTCGTCTGTTTCGCCAAATTCAAATTTTTGTCATCGATTTTAGGGTTCTTGGTTTTGGGTGCGAATGTGATTTGGGACAAAGCACAGATTTGAGAACGAGAATGACGGAGGGAACAAAAACGATCGAAGGCAAAATTGTATTTAGAAATATAATGCATTATGTTAATTATGTGTAGTAAATAAAGGATTGGATTAGGGAAAAACGGTATCAAGATTAGTAAACTAAGGACGGAATAAACTGACGTGACAAAGAATGGTAAGTTGGAGGGATTATTTTTTCTAATCCACTCTTTGCTAGTAATCTGAATGACTCATGTGAGTTGATTGAATTGAATGCAATAGGTGATAAATAATTTGATAGTTTTAACTAACTAAATTTTATTAGTTGATTAGTACATACTAATTAGTTATTTGATTAAAATAGTAAAATTTATATTTCTTTATTCTAAAAAGAGCTCTTATACTTATTATTTTGTTTTTTTTTTTAAATAAGTTTTATTTATGCACTCATCTCATATTTTCCCTAAATCATTTTTCATTTTATTGACATTGTGATTGATACTTATGGAACTCTAATTATAAACTCTAATTATAAAT